TCCATCCTCCCCTGACCTCAATCCTATTGAGAAACTTTGGAGCAGCCTCAAGCAAAAGATCTATGAGGCTAGGAGGCAGTTTACACACAAACAGCAGCTCTGGGAGGCTATTCTGACATCTTGCAAACAAATTCAAGCAGAAACTGTCCAAAAGCTCACAAGTTTAATGGATGCAAGACTTGTGAAGCTGCTATCAAATAAGGGGTCCTATGTTAAAATGTAACGTGACCTGTTAAAATGTTTAAACAGTTAAAATGTTGTTATAAGTTTGATTGAAATCGCTTTTGATTTCAATAAATATGCTGCAAACACAACAAATGACAATTTTCAGTTCTTTATAACCTATAAAGTGCTTTGAAACTTACTGTGCGTAATAATTTGGAACAGTGCATCGTAAGTTTTTTATGTTTAAAAAAAATACTGTTATCATTAGGAGGTTTGTTCAATAAAATTTGAATTGTACTCTTAATAGTTGATAACATGAGAATTATGCTGACTGTTATTTACATCAATTATTTAGGTAAATGAGAAAAATATAATTTGCATAATAATTTGGAACAGGGTGTAAATACCTTCATATAACTGTGTCTCATCTTAGGCCTAAGCCCACAAACCCAGAGACATGCAATACTGACTCTCTTAATTTCTATCTTACTGCAAATTTCAGGCCTTAACCCACAAACCCAGAAACATGCAATAAGGACTATCTTCATTTGCTCTAAGCACTTCCCACTCACCCACCCTTCCCTGCTCCCCCACCCAGGAAACCACTACATTTTTAGCATGTTCATTCAGCTGTCTGAGATCTTACTGAATGGCACCTTTACTCCCTTTACATTTTACCAATCGTTCGTTTTTTTTATTAACTGGGAGAGATTGGTGCCGAACAGGGAGCTTAAGGTGTGTACCTCCAGCTGGTTAGGGGCTGTGCTGGCCCACCAGGTAATTTCCTGGTAAGCTGCCGTAGCTGGGACTGGCTGCTGCTTACTGGCAGCTTACAGGAAGGTGCTAAGAGTGGCAGCAACCAGCCACTCCTCATGATGCACAGGGCTGAAGGCCATCAGGATACAGCGTGGCGTCATATCCCAGAGAATTTGGAGCATGTGTGTGTTAGTGTATGTATCTTTGTGTATGGGTCAGTGTATGTAATTTTATTAGAAAGTGTATCACAAAAACAGCCATCACACATGTTATTTTCAGCCAGCACACAAAACACACACACATTACACACATCCAGTGCACAAAAAGCACAGTTAGTACACACAGTATGACAAACGGGAAGACTATTGGAGCACAGAGGGTAAAACACTCATGGTAATTCACAAACTCTTTGCAAAATAAATCCAAATGGCAAAAATATACATTTATTGACTATTCAGTGTGTAGCAAATATCACTATTACTGTACAGGGATTTTGGCAGGGGCTCCCAATCTTTATAACTGAAATTATTTTGTGTTAGAGCAAGTAGATTTGGCTACTGCTTTAGTCCAGTGGATGAGATATATTTAATTTTTTATACTCCACACCCCTGCTTTACTGATTTTCCAAATATACTCACTGAGGTTAAATGGAAAGCTTGGCAGTCAGTGGTAATGAATGTTTCAAAGCACAGTCCACCTTTCTATGTATAGGAGATGATATAATCAACATTCTACTAGGCAACCATCATGAGGGTAAGGATGAATTTGCAGTTTAGTAGCTTAGCTAGGCTGCTGCAGGATATGAGACTCATCCAACTTTTTTCTGCAAGTCCATATAAAAATCTTTACCCCCAATAGCATGCATACATGGTTGTATATTTCTTCAACCCCAAAAGCATCCATACGCCAAACACTTAAATATACATTATTTACAAATCAAATAATATTGTCTTCAACTTCATTATTCTGTAGCACCCAATGCCACCTTCACTGGTGCGGGAAGCTCCTCCACTGTGCTAAACCCTGCTGTGCAAGGCCAGCTCATTGGCTAAGAGCGTCAGTTAAGTGCTTTCACCCAGTAAGAGTTGCCCTGCACGATTGAACTTAGCTCAGTCAGGAGTTTTGGGCAGCAGGGGAGTTGGCAATGGGCATCTGGTTGGTAAAATGTCAAACCATTTTTAATTTGGGAGAGTGCCAGAGCACTCCTGGTACCATAACCACTATAGTGGGCTGTAGTGGTTATGGTGCTTGGACTGTATCTTTAATGTATTTTTATGCGTTATGATATGAGAAATACATTTTACACATAACTGTACAGAACACAAAGAATGGGTTTTAGTATTTGTTTGCATGCCACTCATTTGGTAGTGAGAGGTTAATGAGTTAATAGCTTGTGTGTGTCAAAGGCTATTTCCGTATCCATCTATCTATTGGTATTTGCTATTGGTGTGATATTGCATAATTTAATATTTATATAAAAGTTTCCTTCTTGACTGTGAAAATGCATCTCAGAAAGAGAAACTTTACTTGAGCATGCTGTAATGTCAGCACCGCATTTAAAAAAATACACAAAGGTTTTAATACACTAGTATTGCATAAGGTAGAGACAATAGGAATTCATGCACATTACAAAACTGCAGCTGTTCATCTATAGAAAATATATAAAAATATTTACTGTAAATACTACAATTTCACAAGTGTTCTTTATCAAATGCATATTAGATAAACAGTATAATTTACTAAAGTTAGAATTTAAAGTGAATTTCATATTTAAGACCACAGGTGCTGAATTGAAATCATAGCTGACTTAGATAATTTTTCAAGTTTAGCTATTTTAACCTTAACGGGACACTATAGTCACCAAAACAACTATAGCTTAATACCAGCAGAGCAAGTCATTGCTCTGGAAATTGTAGGTAGAATACTGTCTTTTACCATTTATATTCTGCTATTTTATATGCTACAGCATTGGGTTATTTTTGTTCTATTCTCTCTGTATAGCCAATGAACACTGAGAATTTACTGCACTGAATACCAACATATGCTTAGACGTGGATTATACCGTCCAGGCGTCATACAGCAGAGCTCTCAGTAGCTCTTAAAAGTGTGAGTTAGCACTCTACAAAATCTATTTAAAATTTCCCCCCAATATAGAGTTGACATATTGCACTATTATTTTCTGTTTTATTCTATTCCTTGAGGTCCCTTAAAAACTGAAATTGGTAACTAATGACCTCTAAAAAGAGTATGTATATATGTGTATATATCCCACTATACGTTTTTGACACAGTTCTTCTGCATAAAACTTTATTTTTTTTGGCCCGGTCTACCACACCTTTCCTTTATTACGTGTTGTAATTTATGCAGGGCTGGGGAATCCCTGCTGGTTCACTGCTGCCCGTCACTTTGTTACAGTGAACGCCTATTCTGTGTTTGTTTTTTTAATATATTGCCTGACGCAGCTCTAAGTGTCTGCGAGATGGTGGTGGAATGGTTAGTGGGCCGTGTAGGCAGACACAGGGTAGGGTCAGATGGCAACCGTATCCTTTACACATATGCATTGCATCCCTTGAACTCACAGTGCATCCACTACACACACAGAAACTGGATTCCCCATACACATTACATCTCCTAACAAACACACGCTACATCGCCTACTGCAGCTCTAACTGCCTGTGAGATGGTGGTGGAATGGGTGGCAGGTTCTGTGGGAAAACGTGGGCAGGCCCCAGGGGCCCAAGTCTTACGCTATTGAAGGGGCCACATAACGTCTGCTGGCAGCCCTAATTAAAGCTTATTGTTGCCAATAAAACAAACAAAACCAAAAAAGATTCCACTTTCTATTAGTGCAATATATAATTTTAACGGATACGGGTTTTTAAAAAATGTTTAAGGTACAAATATTTGTATTTGTTTATAAAGCACTAGCATATTCTGCAGAGAGGCACACATATTGTGCATCTTTCCATGTACTGCCTGCCTTAGCTTTGTAGCATATTGTTTTAGATTCCGTTCCACAAATACAACCGTGACACAATGATGACAGATGATGCTGTCTGTGTTTAGTATAAACTCTGTCATAGCAACAGTTAGTGAACCTTCCATTGCTATGGAGATTTCATCCAATCCTCACTAAAAGAGTGGGGCTCAGCAGGCAGACACTTGGTCATTGATATATTCACAACTTGCAAATTAAACACTGAATGGCAGCAAATTAAAATCTGGATGGCAGAATGAAAACTAAAATAGCTGATCTGGAATAAGTCTCCAAATCAGCTGTACTGTGTTACCATCTGGATTTTAAACTGCAGTTATTTTGAGTTTGGTGATTAAAAACGTTATTGCTGACCGTTAACTAATGTTGACATACTTAGATAGGATTGATCACCAAACTGCCTATTGTCAGGAGCATACCAGGGAACTGCATATTTCCATACAAAATAGCCCAGTTGGAAAACATACCTGAATGAGCTGTATTTCCAGTTTTGCTCGTTTGGTCTAAAACTTAAATTCTTAATTCACAGTTTAGTGAACAGACTAGAAACATGTCCCACACTTTGATATGGTGGAATCCTCCTTTGTTGGGCACATTTGTTCAAATCTCTAAGACAGAAATATATTGGGTTCATTTACACCAGGGGTGCCCAAAAGGTAGATTCTTAGATGTTGTAAAACTACAACTCCCATGATGCTTTACATGCCTTTAGAATGATAAAGCATTGTGAAAGCTGTAGTTTTAAAAAACATCTGAGTTTCTACCTTTTGGGCACCCCTGATTTAGACAAAGAACAGCCACTCTGTGACTATGTTTGGATCTTTTCCCCCCACAATAATGTTTTGGCCGGAGGTTTGCAGTTTGGATTTTTGACTCAAAAAGGCTTTATTCAAACATAAGCATTTCAGGGTATACCCTGATCCCTGTACATTAGCAGGTATCAATAGATTGAACAAGTAAATAACATATAACGGACTCGCAGGTCCCAACATTAAGTGTGTAAACAGCACTCAAACAATGTTACATATTATTTCTATATGACATTTGGTCGCATTTAACACGTTAAGACATACATATGAGTGATCGGATTGCAGCTTGAGTAGAGGGATATTCATAAGTTTGTGCCTTGCGTCTGTTTTATGTGATCCTCTAGTATTTCCTTATCACCCGTGAGCCTCATTCTCTTTGGGGTAGTAAGGTCTATTGGTCCGTCGTCATAGGTCAGATGTCGTTCAGGGACGTGTCTTATTCGTGTTGTGTAGTCGCGTGATGAAGGCGTTTGTGTCCAGTTTGACGTGCAAGCGTGAGTGAATGACACAATTGTGGGCAATCTCGGATTAAGGTGGGCTACGTTTATCATGTAATTTATAATGAAGCCATTGTTGGAGAGTTTTAGAGAGAAGATGAGTGTTAATTGAGTAAGAAGTAAGAGGAAGAGAGAGGGGGGATGAAGAGGGGGGAGCTGGGTGGGGGGTGGTTGATCAGGGGGGGGAGAGGGGGGATAGTGGGGTATGAAGGGAAAGGTGGTCCCGTCATCCGTGACCACGGCGTAGTATGTATCGGACCAGGCATCAGTCCCCGTCTGTGGGGGGTCCTGGGGCTCCTTGAGGCTGGGAATGGCCGTTCCTATCTGTGTGTCGGTCCGCTATGTAGAGTAGCCACGGGCGCCACCTCTCCACATGCTTGTCCTCTAGTCCTCGAAGTGTAGCCTGTATTGATTCCGCTCTATATATTTCTTCCACCCGTTCCATCCATTGTCTTATCGTCGGGGTATTCGTTTGTTTCCAGTATAATGGAATTAGTGCCTTGGCTGCGTTGATTAGGTGTCTACGGATGTTTTTCCTGTATGTGCCTATGGGATCCGGTGTTGAGTGTAGGAGGAGTGCCTCTGCGTTGAGGTTTCCTTCCGTCCCTGTGATATCCCTTATTTTCTGTAGGACTTCGACCCAGAATGGCTTAATGAGTGAGCATTTCCACCATATATGTAGTGGCGAGCCACGCTCATCTCCGCATCTCCAGCATATGTCAGGCACATGCGGGAAGATCCTGTGTAGACTGTCGGGCGTTCTGTACCAGAATGAGAGAAGTTTATAGTTGGTTTCTTGATATTGGGAGCTCGATGAGCATTTATGGTGTAATATGAGGATCTTTTCCCATTGGGATGTGGTGAAAGATGTATTTAGCATGCATTCCCAGCGTCTGCGGAATTGGTCGTTGTTAGTGAGGTGCCCCATGAGCATGTGTTGGTATAGCAGGGATATCGCTTTACCTAGAGTAGTCTTGTGATCGCAGAGCGTTTCGAACCATGTCAAGTCCCTGTGTAACTTTTCCTTGTCTGGAAGTGTCCGGTAATATGTTCTGAGTTGTATATAACGGAAGGTCTGTAGGCTAGTGGGTTGGTCGCCTTCTATTAGGTCCCTCAGGGGGATCATATCTGCGTTAGTTAACACCTTATGTATGGGGTATGATTCCCCCTCTCCCAGGAAGGACCATGCTGTCCGTGGTAGCCCTCCCCCTATCTGGGGGTTGTATTGTATCTGGGTCATCGGGCTCGGTGCTGGAGAGACGTGAGGAGCCTTTCTGATGTAGTCCCATGCTTTCAGTGTCTGCGCTACGGTAGAGGATGGTTCCAAACACGTCCGCGGCATCTTCTTCGTATTCCACACTGATGTCAGAAAGGAGGGGCCTATATGTTGTTTGTCCAATTCGATCCATTGTTTATGTTACGGTTGAGTATGCCATTCCAGGACGCGTTGTAGTACTGTCGCGTGTTGGTATTTGCGGAGGTCAGGGAGTGCCAATCCCCCCCATGCTCGAGGTAGGCAGAGGACTTCCTGTCGGAGTCTTGCCTGTTTCCCATTCCAGACGAACTTCACCATCACGGAACGTAGTGACGCGAAATATGCCGTCGGTAGAGCTTGCGGAATCGCCTGGTATAAATATAACAGCCGTGGTAGAATATTCATCTTAAGTATTGCGATCCGGCCTAACCACGAGATGTGTGGATATGTCCACGTTTTCAAATCTTGTTGGATTCGTTGTAGTAGTGGTAGGAAGTTCGTACGATACATGTCGCCTAGGTCTCTGGTTATTGCGATACCTAGATACCGCATGTGATTTGCGCACCATCTAAACGGAAATTGGTTCTTCAGTGCGGATGTTTGGTCCGTTGGAGTGGTAATGTTAAGTACTTCACATTTATTCATGTTCAATTTGAATCCTGAGACCTCCCCGTAGTCCGTGATCATAGTGACTAAGTGGGGCATTGTTGCCTCCGGTTCCGTGATAAAAAATAAGAGGTCATCTGCGTATGCTGCTACTTTGTGTGTTGTATCCCCGCTTTTGAAGCCCTGGATTGTATCCGATGCGCGCACCGCTTCTAGGAACGGTTCGAGAGCCAGGGCGAAGAGCATGGGGGAGAGTGGGCATCCCTGTCTTGTCCCATTGTGGATCTGGAAGGAATCAGTAAGCGCTCCGTTCACTCTCACCTTCGCATTGGGGCAATGGTAGATCGCATCAATCCATTTCATCATGTTCTCTCCGAAGCCCATTTCCCGTAGCGTGGTTACTAGGAATGTCCAGTCAACCCGGTCGAATGCTTTTTCCGCATCCGTTGACAGTAATAGGAGCTTATCTGTTGATTTCCTTGCCAGGTGATGGATGGATTGCACTCTAAGAGTAATGTCTCTAGCTTCTCTCCCTGGGATGAACCCCGTCTGGTCTGGGTGGACCAATCTCGGAAGCATTTTCCCTATTCTGGTGGATAGTATTTTAGTGAGGAGCTTCACGTCCACATTTAGCAGTGATATCGGTCTATAGCTGCTGCAGAGTTCGGGATCCTTCCCAGGTTTCGGGAGAACCGTTATAGTTGCCGCTAATGATTCGGGTCCGAATCGGGCGCCATCTATCAAAGCGTTGAATGCGTTGGTGAGTCTCGGGAGCAGTAGGGTTCGGAACTTTTTATAGTAGTCCAAGGTGAAGCCATCAGGGCCTGGGGCCCGTCCCGTTTTGGCAGTCTTGAGTGCCCCTGCCACTTCTGCCTCCGTGATCGGTATATCCAGTGACTCCGGTTCCCCTTGCTGCAACCTCGTCTTCACGTGTGATTCGATGTAACTCCTTATTCTATCCCGTCTGAGTGTTACCTCCTCCGGGAGTGTGGGTCCCGGGATGTTGTATAACGAGGCGTAAAATGTGCGAAACTCGGATGCTATTTTATCCGGGAATTGTGTGATCGTGCCGTCTGATGTCCGCAGCTTATGTACCTGGGTCATGCCCTGGGGGCCTCTAAGCATTCTGGCCAGCAGCCGCCCTCCTTTGTTGGCGTGTTGGTAGAAGAAGGCCTTCGATCGTTGTATGGAGCTATAGTGTCGATTCGTCATGTGTGTATGTAGAGATCTTCGGGCTTCCAATAATTCTTTATATGTCCCCTCGAGGTGGGAACGTTTGTGTTGCATTTCAAACGTAGTTATGCGCGTTAGTAGGTCCGTCATATGTTTCCGAGATTCTCTCTTCTTCTGAGAAGCTAACCGCATCAGTGTCCCTCTGAGCACACTTTTGTGCGCTTCCCATATCGTGGTCGCGGGGAGATCATCTGTCTCATTCAGTGCGAAATAGGAAGTGAGTTCCTCGGAAACCGTTTCCTTCACTGATGGGTCCAAGAGTAATGAGTCCTGGAGTCGCAATGACCTAGCGGTTGGGCGTACCCTGGGGGAGTCCATTTGCAGGGTCACAGGACCATGATCCGACCAGCTTGCTGATCCAATTTCTGCTTTTTGGATAGCGTCAAGATGTTCCTGTTGAAGGAAGATGTAGTCAATCCTCGCGTATCGCTTATGTATCACCGAGTAGTGGGTGTATTCTCTGTCTGCCGGGTGCATCGCTCGCCAGCAATCCACCAGCCTAAGGTTCTTAAGCGTTTTCTGTATGCTTCGGAGGGCTCCTTGGGTGATGCTACTGTGTCCCGTGGATGAATCTATGAGAGGGATGAGGGGAACATTAAGATCTCCTCCAACGATTAACGTGCCCTCTGTGAATGAGGAGAGGTTGGAGAGAGATTTACGTATGAAGTGTGATTGGTTGTTGTTTGGTGCATATATCGTCGCGAGGGTGTACCTACGGTTTTGTATGTCTCCCTTAAGGAACAGGTATCTGCCGTTAGGATCAACCAGTCGTTCCACTTCCTGGAACTGTAGTTGAGCATGGGTGAGAACTGCTACACCTGCCTTACGTGCAGTCGGGTGGTTACTGAGAGCCGCAGTGGGGTAGTGTTTGCTCTTCAACGGCGGAACATGTCCTTCCTTAAAGTGTGTTTCTTGTAGGAAAGCAATCGATACGCGCTTAGAGGTAAGCTCACGAAGAAGGTGTGATCTGCGCTCCGGGATATTTAGGCCCCTGCAGTTCATGGTTGTAATGCGTAGAGGGTCGGGTTCGTAGGCCATTTGCGATGGGTGGGGGTGGTTCGCTATGTCCTTTAACGATTTGTTTACTCTTCTAATCGGTGCCTGTTGTCGGGTGCTGCCCCGTCTCTTTTGGGAAATGCCGTGGGCACGGAGGTGACGGGGGGGAGGGGGGTGTGACGGTAGTGGAGGGGTTGGGGTGGGGGGGTTGGATCAGAGTCGTATGGGGAGGGATGAGGTAGGGGGTAGGGAGGGGTTTGAGAAAAGATGTAGAGAGTCCCCTAGGCGGGGGTATGAAGGTAGAGGTAGGTTAGCCGTCCCCAGAGGGGGACAGTACGGCACCTAGAGGTAGGTGTCAGAAATCCCTCCTGTGAGGGTTGGTTCGCGTGACCACGGTAGCAGTCAGTAGTCGGGTCTGTCAGAGAATATCTAACGACCTCCTACTATCGACTCTCCGTGGTTTGAATTTGTTCATGCGAACTTGGCGGGGGTTAGTGGTCAAGTCCTCGCGTTCTCACCACGTTACGGTGTGTCTACTGTTTGTCGTTACAGGTATATAAGTCCGAGATTACCCAGTGGGTGTGCCACCAGTATGAGAGCATTTGAGTGTCGTTAGCTCATGTTAGTGTGAATAATGGGCCTAGTCTAGTGGCATCAGCAGTTATCAGTATTGTCGCTATTTGTATCCTAGGCTGACGTAGTGCTATCGAGTGATGGAGTGTTTTTAGGCTGTACGGTCGGTGCCAGGGTCAGGATCTATATCATGTCGGGGCAAATTCCTGAGTCTGGGGTAGGGCGGTGTCCTGGTGTGTCATGACTGTCACGTGGTTTGTAGGACGTTTGGCTTGCTCTGGGGGGAAGTGGGGTCATCACCTTCAATTTCAATGGGGTAGCTATCACGGTCAATGTCGTGGTGAACAATTCAAAATGTGCATCATATCTTACAGTACATTCCCTCTCCTCCCAGATCACAAAGTAAAACATATATACAGTAGGTGCAGCGTTGGATCCCCTTCGTGTACCTCCTAGCTCCTATTCTCCTCTTGCGGCACACTCGTCTCATGTAAGTGTACCTGTGTGTGACCATATCTAGGCCTGAAGGGAACGGGGTGATATCGTACATAGCGGTCCCTACCTAGATCTGCTGTATTCATGTGCTATCTGCATCAGGTGTCCTATGCTAAGGGATTCTAAATTCCACCCTCCCACTCTCCCGTATCCTCCCCCACTCTACCAATTTGAAACTGTTGGCCCAGGATTTCAACAATCTGTGTCTCGCTGGCTCTAAACTACCCCCCATGTAGCCCAATACAGTCCCACAAGTCCCTCCCTCCTGTCTGTACCCCATGTAGGCCTGCAACATGTGGCCAGCCCAGCGTTCATCATCCCCCCCTGAACCTGTTGGTATGAGTCCTCCAGAGTGCCGTGTCTCTGCCAGCGCGGGTATCCTGTTCCGGATCATAGTCTTTTGTCGGTTCCTTGTAGGTGCGGTGGCAAGTCTAGCCAGGGGATCCGGCTCGTGGTTCTTCAGCTTCCCTGGGTTCCCTATGCGGCTATCACAAGCCTTCCCCCCTCCCAAGAGAGTCTCGTGGTAGTGCCATCCCTGTGGGCCATAGGCTATGGAAGGGTGGGTATAGGGTGGGGAATAGCTTGGCCAGTGGGGCCTAGTAGAACTGGTACCATCAGTTCCATCTCCTGTGGTCAAGAGCCTGTTATGTCCCTCCTAGTCCTCATCCAGATTGTGTAGGTCGCTGGGTGTGTGCACACCATAGGCAGCGTGCGGAGTTGGCTCCTTGGGTCAGTGGGTTGTGGGCAATGAGTTCTGTCTGCGGGGCGCCGTTTGCGTCGACATCGTTTCAGGTAACCGGATCTCAGGTGTCACAGAGAGCTGAGCCCGGTGCCACCAGTGCTTGGCTATTCTTCTGGGTTGGACGGGTGTGAAGGTACTTCGCGTATGCGGTTTTCCCTTGGGCCCCTCCGTGAGTTCCTTGGCTGTCTTTGTGGTCTGGGTTCTCGGTCCAGTGGTTCCAGGATCCAGTCTGGGATTGCTATGGGCGGGAGGTCCAGCCGTTGGAGAAAGCGTGGTATTTCGTCCGGCCAGCGCGCAGCGACCCATTCATTCTGGTGTCTCACTTGGATGCTAAATGGGAAGCCCCATTTGTACGGGATATTGCGTTCCCTTAGTGCTGTAGTGATGGGTCTGAGAGCGCGTCTAGCCTCTAACGTGGTAGGGGAAAGGTCATTATAGAGGGAGACTTCTGTTTCTTGATAACGCCACGTGGGTCGAGCCCTAGCCCGTTGCATTATGCGATCTTTAAGGGGGAATGAGTGTAAGCAGCATATAATGTCTCTGGGGTCCCCATCTCTGATTCTGGGTCTCAGTGCCCTATGTGCACTCTCAAAGCGTATATTTGGTGGTGCGTCAGGTCCCAGGATTTGGAGGAAGAGCGCGGTGAGTAGCTCTTCTACATTTTCTTGCCCCTCACCCTCTGGTACCCCTCTTACCCGGATGTTTGAGCGGCGGCTCCGGTTATCTAGGTCCTCTATTTGTCTGCGCTGGGCCAGCAGCATGTTGCCCTGCCTTGTCAAGGCTGTGTCAGCAGCAGTTGCACGGCGTTGTGATTCTAGGGCCTGTGTTTCCAGCATTTGGATGCGTCCATCTTGTGCCTCCATATCTGTTCGCAGTGCTGAGACTGCCGACGTGAGGGAGGTCGTGAGGGTGGCTGTGAGGGACTGCAGGTCGGCTTTGGTGACCATATTGGCCGCCAATCGTCTGATCTCAGCTCCTATATCAGCCAGAGTAGGCTGGTCGGGTTCCGAGCAGGAGGAGGCTGGGGAGACGGGCGCCATCTTGGAGCCGTGTGCCTCGCGGCTCGGTCCCAGCGGGGTTTGCAGGAACCCGTCCATCGGTCCTGACGGCGGTGCCGGTGGAGGTGCCCTGGGGGTATGCTGGGTCTCTTGCCATTTTGTACGCCCCATTTAGGCAGGCTGGTGGTCGGTAGACGGCTAATGGTAGCTAGGCGGCAGGGAGCTCGGGACTTACACGTCCATGTCCGTCGGACTTCAGGCCACGCCCCCTTGCAGTTTGGATTTCACTTTATTCCATTTCAAACATCAACAGTTGTCCTCTAAAATGTACAATTCCTATATTTAATTCCCAGATTAGTGCCTATTCTCACTGACAAGGAGATAGTAGATCCTCCACACTAGGAGGGAGTGGAATCAGCTAATTCTCTTTCAAATGTGTCTCTGTGGTAGTTTTGTATATTGAGCATATGCCCCAGAATATTCTACAAATCATTTTAAAATGTTACTTTAACCAAAAACAGTGGCTCACATATCCCCGAAATTCAATGTGAACGTCAACTTTTGGCCAGACTGGCCATACTGGAAGCATAGTTTACTTAGAGAGTTTTTCCAGTTTGGCTTTCTTGGTCTTCAATTTGATTTCCGACAATTCTAACTTGAGTCAAACCCTGAAAATTTCCAGGGTCACCCGATCTAGAAGGCACACATGCTAAAGAAACTCACTTTCTTTTTCCAGGCAAGGCTACAGAATCCCAGAATATTTGTTCATTGGCACAGTAAGAAGCCAACACCTAAATAATTGATGGAAAATGACATGAACACAGTAAAGCTAACTGGGATCATGCAGGTACCTACTAATCAGGAGACCTGAAAGAATGGTCCCTCCTATTCCTTCATACCATAGCCTTAGATATAAGGGTTAATGGACCACTCAAAGCATCATAACCAGTGCAGCCTACTGTTGTGGTTAATGTGCCCGGAGTGCCCTACACCAACCTACCTAGCATAATCTGCCAAACAGTCTTAGCACAGTATAACGCGTACCTGCATCCCACAGGGTACCTGTACTACATCCAGTCTTCTCAAGCAGGAGAAGCCAGATTCCGATGTAGGCGGTCCTTACTTGGCTCTTAGCCAAGGAATCTGTCATAAGACCACGAAATGCAGTGTGGTTGCCCAGTGGGACTCAAGTTAGTCAAACCTTGCTAAAATGGCTTGACTGGTTACACTAGGATGGCGCCAGAGCATTCCTTAGACCATAAGCGCTGGGCTTTGTGCTGGTTATGGTGCTTGGAGCATTCCATTTAGTGAGATTGAATTTTACTAGCACTCTTTTGATGATCATTTCAATATTTTATAATTATTGGGTAAGGCTGGACTCCCCTATGGAGCATTTTATTCCCATGAATGAGCTAATTACAATCTTTTTTTTCAGTCACCGCTGCACCACAATAGACTATAACTCTCTCACGGATTAGATAAACTGGCACGTGCCAATCATTTTTTGTTTGAAAGCATTTGACCTCCAGCAAATTCACGATAACTGGGTTTCCATTGTTCTGTGGCATACTCCCCAAGTTCTGTTCCAGATTGCCAGCGTTCAATAGTATCCAGAGGGCCTACAACCTGTACATCCATGGCTATTTGGAAGCCATCTTACTAAATTAGTGGAAGTTGATAAATGTGAATGAGGTCTAGGTTTTTGTCTCCGAATGGCCCAAGTTTGATCCAGATATAAATATATTTTTTTACTATGTAGGCCATGTAAAGGGTGTACTTTGCAAATAAAATCCGTGGTGGATAGTTTATTCAAATCTAAATATCATGCTGCCATCAAATCGTGCTGAAATCACCAAGCACTGCCCACCGCTGAATTGGTGACTGTTTCTAAATCAGCTATTGTTCTAGAACATCTGCCCTTGGAGGTTCAATTCGCTACAATTAGAGGTTTAGTAAATAGACCTTGGTTTGGATTTTACCCACACTCTCCTGAGCTTAAGGTGACATTGAATAAACAAGGCGGAGAGCCACCCCACTGAGGGGGTCATGTAAAACACACATTACCATTAAATCCAGATTAAAATCAATGCTGCAAGCTGGCAGCAGCTCATTATAATTAATTAGTGTATAGCTGTATCGGCCCAGTGGCCATGCCCTGCTATACCTGGTGTCAGCCCGGCAGGAGGAGCGCTACAAGCCGTTACCAGCTGCTTTACACCATGTCTGGATCAGCATGTCGCCCTCCTCCTGCCAGGACCGCCGCGGGCCTCCTGTCTCACTGCCAGCCAAGCCGGTGGGCGGGGCCGACTGCCAGTGACGTCGCTCCGTAGCCACGCCCACCAACAGGCGCCTGACTCGTTGTCGGAAACTCCAGCGCCCTGGCTCGCGGTGGGGCTGCGCGCGCACTCGCTGCTCGGTGACCGGCGGCGGCTGGAAGCGGTAGGTTTGCCGTGGGCGGGACAGGCGAGGACGGTAAGTTATCCGCCAGAGTCAGGCTCTGCAATTCACATTGTAAGAGAGCAGCTCTGTACATGTAGAGCTGGGAGGGAAGGCCTGCTGTATGGCTACCGGAGACCGAGGGAGAGCTGCGGGCAGTGTGCACGGCGCTGCCAACTCATATAATATAATATAACATGGGATAATGTACTGCAATAACTCATATAATATAATATAACATGGGATAATGTACTGCAATAACTCATATAATATAACATGGGATAATGTACTGCAATAACTCATATAATATAATATAACATGGGATAATGTACTGCAATAACTCATATAATATAATATAACATGGGATAATGTACTGCAATAACTCATATAATATAATATAACATGGTATAATGTACTGCAATAACTCATATAATATAATTTAACATGGGATAATGTACTGCAATAACTCATATAATATAACATGGGATAATGTACTGCAATAACTCATATAATATAATATAATATAATATAACATGGTATAATGTACTGCAATAACTCATATAATATAATATAATATAACATGGGATAATGTACTGCAATAACTCATATAATATAATATAACATGGTATAATGTACTGCAATAACTCATATAATATAACATGGGATAATGTACTGCAATAACTCATATAATATAATATAATATAACATGGGATAATGTACTGCAATAACTCATATAATATAATATAATATAACATGGTATAATGTACTGCAATAACTCATATAATATAACATGGGATAATGTACTGCAATAACTCATATAATATAATATAACATGGTATAATGTACTGTAATAACTCATATAATATAACATGGTATAATGTACTGTAATAACTCATATAATATAACATGGTATAATGTACTGTAATAACTCATAATGTACTGTAATAACTCATATCATAATATAACATGGTATAATGTACTGTAATAACTCATATAATATAACATGGTATAATGTACTGTAATAACTCATAATGTACTGTAATAACTCATATATAATATAACATGGTATAATGTACTGTAATAACTCATAATGTACGGTAATAACTCATATATAATATAACATGGTATAATGTACGGTAATAACTCATATATAATATAACATGGTATAATGTACTGTAATAACTCATATAATATAACATGGTATAATGTACTGTAACAACTCATAATGTACTGTAATAACTCATATCATATAATATAACATGGTATAATGTACTGTAATAACTCATATCATATAACATGGTATAATGTACTGTAATAACTCATATAATATAACTTGGTATAATGTACTGTAATAACTCATATAATATAACATGGTATAATGTACTGTAATAACTCATATAATATAACATAGTATAACGTACTGTTATAACTCATCATAATATAACATAGTATAACGTACTGTAATAACTCATATCATAATATAACATAGTATAATGCACTGTAATAACTCATATCATAATATAACATAGTATAATGCACTGTTATAACTCATATCATAGTATAACCCAGTGTAACCTTGTATAACCTGGGATTCATAATATTACATAGTATAGCATCATGTAACATAGCAGCACATAAGGAAGCCTAATGTAGTGTAATACAGTATAATATGGATAAATATAGGATGGGATTGTACAGCATAATATAGCTTAATATGGTACAACATTATATAGCTTAATATGGTAAAGCATAATATAATATAGCTTAATACGGTACAGTACAATATAACAGCTTGTTATGGCACAATATATAATATAGCTTGATATGGTACAGCATTATATAATATAGCTTGATATGGTACAGCATTATATAATATAGCTTGATATGGTACAGCATTATATAATATAGCTTGATATGGTACAGCATTATATAATATAGCTTGATATGGTACAGCATAATATAGTATAGCTTGATATGGTACAGCATAATATAATATAGCTTGATATGGTACAGCATAATATAATATAGCTGGATATGGTACAGCATAATATTCTATAGCTGGATATGGTACAGCATAATATGCTATAGCTGGATATGGTACAATATAATATAGCTGGATATGGTACAACACAATATAATATAGCTTGATATCGTACAACATAATATACTATAGCTTAATATGGTACAGCATAATATACTATAGCTTGATATGGCACAATATAATATAGCTTGATATGGTACAGCATAATATACTATAGCTTGATATGGCACATTTATTGGCTGAGATCACCACTTCTGATGATGTCAGCCTAGGAGGCAGATCAGGGCAGAGCCAGCACAAGTAGACTGGAATAAAGGTAAGACTTTACTAGATTTAGGAGCAAGGGCATTAAATAGAGAGTTTAACACTATAGGGTTTGGAATACATATTTGTGTTCCTGACCCATAAGTATACCTTTAAAGGGACACTTCAGGCACCCAGACCACTTCTGCCCATTGGAGTGGTCTGGGTGCCAACTCCCACTACCCTTAACCCAGCAACTGTAAATATTGCAGTTTTCATAAACTGCAATATTTACCTTGCAGGGTTAACTCCTCCTCTAGTGATGTCTACTAGACAGCCACTAGAGGGCACATCCGGGTTTATAGCACACATTTCATGTGCTATAGCGTCGCTGGACGTCCTCACACTATGTGAGGACCTTCAGCGTTGCTGAAATCCCCATAGGGAAGCATTGAAAGCATTTTTCAATGCTTTCCTATGGGGAGGTCTAATGCGCGTGCGCGGCATTGCCGCGCATGCGCAA